AGAACTCGGGTAAAAGCAAATCGGTTGCTGGCTCTTCTTCTAAAGAAGAGCAAAAATGTTTCCACTGCAACAAAACTGGTCATTGGAAGCGGAATTGCAAGGCATATTTGGAGGAACTGAAAAAGAAGGGGCATGGTGATGCTTCCAATTCAGGTATCTATGTGATAGAAGTAAATGTTACTACCACTACTTCATGGGTATTGGATACCGGTTGTGGTTCTCACATTTGTTCAAATGTGCAGGGACTAACAAGGAGTAGAAGGCTGGCTAAAGGTGAAGTTGACCTACGAGTAGGCAATGGTGCAAAAGTTGCAGCATTAGCAATAGGGACATTTACTTTGAATTTGCCCACGGGCTTAGTTTTAGAACTTGATAATTGTTATCATGTACCTGCCATTAGCAGGAATATTATTTCTGTTTCTTGTTTGGACAAGAAAGGATTTCATTTTATAATAAAGAACAACATTTGTTCTATTTATTTTAATGAGATCTGTTATGGTAGTGCTAGTCTCATAAATGGACTTTATGTTCTAAACCTTGAAATGCCCATCTATCACATAAATACAAAAAGGTTTAAATCTAACGACTCAAACCCAACATACCTTTGGCATTGTAGACTAGGCCATATAAATGAGAAGCGCATTAAAAGACTCCATTCTAGTGGATTTCTTGATTCTTTTGATTTTGAATCAATCGAGGAGTGTGAATCTTGTTTATTGGGTAAAATGGCCAAGTCACCATTTACTGGTAAAGGTGAAAGAGTTCACGGTTTATTGGACCTCATACACTCGGATGTATGTGGCCCAATGTCAACAATGGCCAGGGGAGGTTTTCAGTACTTCATAACATTTACTGATGACTTCAGTAGGTTTGGTTATGTGTACGTAATGAAGCATAAACATGAAGCTTTTGAAAAGTTCAAAGAATTCCAGAATGAAGTTCAGAATCAACTTGGCAAAACAATTAAGGCCATTCGATCAGATCGAGGTGGTGAATATTTGAGCCAGGAATTTAGTGATCATCTAAGAGGATGTGGAATTGTTTCACAACTCACTCCGCCAGGTACACCACAATGGAATGGTGTGTCCGAACGGAGAAATCGGACCTTGTTAGACATGGTCCGTTCCATGATGAGTCTCGCTGAACTACCAATCTCTTTCTGGGGTTACGCTCTTGAAACCGCTGCATTCATACTCAATAGGGCTCCAACAAAGGCTACAGAAAGGACACCATATGAGATATGGACAGGAAAGGTTCCTAGTCTAGCTTTTGTGAAGATTTGGGGTTGTCAAGTTTATGTAAAACGTTTACTTTCAAATAAACTTGAACCCAAATCAGATAAGTGTTTATTTGTGGGTTATCCTAAGGAAACAAAAGGATATTACTTTTACAACCCATCAGAGAACAAAGTGTTTGTTGCTCGTAATGGTATTTTCTTAGAAAGAGAATTTCTTTCCGAAAGAACCAGTGGGAGTAAAATTCAGCTTGAAGAAGTTCAAGAAGATCAAGATAGTCAGACTATGCAAGCAGTCCCACAACCTCAGCCACAAGTTGTTGTGGATACGTCTGAGATAACACTCGCTCCAAGGAGGTCATCTAGGGTACGTAACGAACCAATTAGATACATGTTTATCTTAACTGAGCAATGTGACGTATTATTGATTGACGAAGATGAACCTTTGACCAACCAAGAAGCAATAACGAGCCATCACTCCGATAGTTGGCTAGAAGCCATGAAATCCGAAATGAGATCCATGGCTGATAATCAAGTCTGGGACTTGGTTGATCTACCTGATGGTTGTAGAACCATTGGGTGCAAATGGATCTACAAAAAGAAATTGGATAAAGATGGCAATATAGATGTGTATAAAGCACGTTTAGTGGCGAAAGGTTACAAACAAATTCATGGTATAGACTATGATGAAACATTCTCGCCAGTTGCCATGCTTAAATCAATTCGGATTCTCTTAGCAACTGCTGCTCATTTTGATTATGACATTTGGCAAATGGATGTCAAAACTGCTTTCCTAAATGGAAATCTAGAAGAGGACGTGTATATGATACAACCTGAGGGTTTTGAACATCCAAGTAATGCTGGGAACGTATGCAAGCTTAAAAGATCAATTTATGGTCTAAAGCAAGCATCTCGGAGTTGGAATCTTCGTTTTGATGCTGCAATCAAAGAGTTTGGTTTCAATCAAAACGAAGAGGAACCTTGTGTTTACAAGAAATTGAGTGGGAGTGCAATCACTTTCCTAGTCCTATATGTAGATGACATACTTCTCATTGGGAATGATGTTCCAATGCTTTCGTCTGTAAAGGCTTGGCTTGGAAAGTGTTTCTCAATGAAAGACTTGGGTGATGCATCCTATGTGTTAGGGATCAAGATCTATAGAGATAGATCTAGAAAACTAATAGGACTAAGTCAAAGTAACTACATTGACAAGGTCCTGCATAGGTTCAATATGCAAGATTCCAAGAGAGGATTCTTGCCTATGTCACATGGCACATATCTCAGCAAGACTCAGTGTCCACAAACACAAGATGAGCGAGATCGGATGAATAGAGTCCCTTATGCTTCTGCTATAGGTTCTATCATGTATGCTATGTTATGTACTCGCCCTGATATAGCTTGCGCTCTAAGCATGACTAGTAGATACCAGTCAGATCCAGGTGATAGTCACTGGATAGCAGTCAAGAATATTCTAAAGTACTTGAGAAGAACTAAGGATGTATTCTTGGTCTATGATGGTGAAGATCAGCTCATTGTAAAAGGTTACACAGATGCTGGGTTCCAATCCGATAAGGATGATTTTAGATCGCAGTCAGGATTTGTGTTTTGCCTCAATGGCAGAGCAGTGAGCTGGAAGAGTTCTAAACAAGACACGGTGGCTGATTCTACAACAGAAGCTGAGTACATTGCTGCTTCAGAAGCAGCAAAAGAAGCGGTATGGATAAGAAAATTCATCATTGAGCTCGGTGTGGTTCCTAGCATTGTTGGACCAATGGACTTGTATTGTGATAACAATGGAGCCATTGCACAAGCCAAGGAACCTAGATCGCACCAGAAATCAAAGCATGTACTCAGACGCTATCATCTCATTCGAGAAATAGTCAATAGAGGTGACGTCAAGATATGCAAAGTACCGACAGATTCAAATGTGGCTGACCCGCTCACCAAGCCACTACCACAAGCAAGGCATGAACGTCATACTAGTGCATTAGGCATTCGTTTTGTTCACGATTGGTCCTAGTGCAAGTGGGAGACTGTTGGAAATATGCCCTAGGACAATCATAGTTTATGATTTATTAATAAATATTTAATGCTCATTAATTAATAAAGTTGCAAACTCATTTTATGTTAATTATTATTGTGAGTTTTCTTTATTAATATTTAGCCCCTGAATATTCTGTTTAGTAGCTAATTAAGTATGTGACTTAATTGTGGAATGCTACACTTTAAAATAAACATAATATTCTAATTGTTCCTAGTCTAATATTATTAATTTGGGACATTAATAATTAATAGACCAGTATGTGGATTAACTGATGGCTATATTCCACTAGTCATGGGTATAGAGATATCAAGTTAATAACATAGATGCTTGTTAGCTAGGGAACAAGTTCATTGGACAGACCCAACTTGGGGACACTGCTAGGTTATATGTCATCAGTGTTGTCCTCAATAATGATGAGGCGCTATATTCTTATACTTGAGATAATCATGGTTACTAGCATGAGAATTAATATGTATTAACACCATTAAATGTTATCTTTAACTGGATAATTATAAAGGTGGTGATTGTACATATTATGAACCATGTAGTAGTATGTGAATTATCAAGATAGTTTTTGTCACTCTTGTACATCGAGAGAAAGATATCTATTGGGCCCCTTGACAAGTAAGATTAATTAGCATGGCCATGCTCAAATGAGGTGTCATTTGATCAAGATTAATCTTACTTGGTAATCAAGAAATATTAATTGAGAATAACAAGGATGACACGACCTAACCTTGTCTCAATTAAGATATCGTTTGACAAAAGAGAATTGTTAGCACAAATTAATCATTAAAAGGTTATGTCAGATTTAATTGACATTTATATATTTTGGATAGTCATAATGCCTTGCTAGAGACCGCTTATGATTTGTGAAGCTCGAATTAATTTCTAGCCCACTACCAATAATATATAAACCTACAGGGTCACACACCTAAGTTATTTGGATCATTAATGTTTGTTAATAACATTAAAATAGCTTGATTAGCCCAATTCGAAATAGGTTTTCGAATGGTATTGGGCTAGGGCCTCTTTAAGGGTTTTATTAGCCATAAAACCCCTTCTTTACTCCTCTTATAAATAGGGCCATATAGACCCACGAATTTTAAGAGTTAAAATTCACTTCTTAAACCTAGAGTAGAGAGGAAGAAAGAAGAGAACGCTAGCACGTTCCCTGCGGCCGATCCAGTCACGTGCGTGTGGATACCGGTAGAGCTCGGGATCGTTTTCTCGGACTATCTGACATCCTTGATTAAGATTGCTATGTAAGTCCCTCTTAAATTCTTGTAATTTCGTTTATAATAAGAACCTCAGATCCGTTCATTTACTTTTGGGTAGAAAAATTTTTGTTTATTCCGCTGCGTTTTTCTGCCCGAAACCCAACACTAGGTGGCAGAGATGCTTTGGACAGAAGGTCTCAATCAGAATGATGTTCTGATGTCTTCTTGACAGAACCCTTCCTGAGGTCTTCTGTTGAACTTGTAACAGAATCCCTCACAAGGTCTTCTGTTGGACTTCTAAGATAGCTTAGAGACTTCTGGTTGAAAGAGGAGTTCTTTGTGAAGGATGAAGAAGACTCCTAGAGAAAAGGAGATATCTTTGGAAGAGAGTATAAACGAGTGGTAAGCTTATCTGAGAGGTGATTTGGTGTGTACTTTGTTGACTGAAAATGAATCAGCACACGATATATCCTGGTTCAGAGGTGGTGTAATCCTCCTACATCCAGTCCCACCCTCTTTCAGATGGATTTCCACTAAAGTATTAAGCCCAATACACTTAGTGCCCGTCTGGCTGTTATCATCCAACTAGCTCAGACCTGAAGGTGTTTCACAAGGAGTACACACCACTCCAAGTTACTCAGTCCTTTAGATTTTCTCAATTGATCCAGTGGGGATCAAAAGGTACTCTGTTCTAATCTACCACACTTAGGACTAGATAACACTGTCCTTCTAAGTGTTTACAACAATTTCAAAAGTAATAAAATTTCTAACCTCCAACTAATAACTAGACTTCCAGGATTTGGCAATGAGTGTGCTGTCTGGGAAGTTTAGTGAAGCATGAGTCTAAACAGAGAGCCGAGTTTGAACGAGCACTTTCAGTAATGCTGGATTTTCTCTTGAATGCTTGGTATAGTTTTTCTGTCTAGAAGACTCAAAAAGCTTGTTTTTCATCTCATGCTTATGCCTGTATTTATAGGCATCTCCAGTTGATTAATCTCCTCCGTTGGTTGAGAGGATCTAATCGTTGACGTCCAAAGTATTGCACTCTCGCCTTCTTGTGTTGGAGCAGATTATCTTCTTCAATCGCAATTGGATCAATTTGCAAATAGGATATGTAAACCCATACCTTAGGCCTTGTCCGCACTATTCACCTATTTGTTCGCATGCAATAGTGTCTCGTGATTTTGTAGTGGATTCTAGTAAATTTGTGACTTTAGTCTTTTTGTATCAAATAATTTTGTACTGGTAGGATTAAATATCCTTTCAAGGTAAAGGAAAATTACCTTATTGCTTTTTATACTTCCAGTACAATTCATTTGATACATAAAGTGTACATGTAAAATTGGTCACAATTTTACTAGGGACAAGAATAATTCTATAACAAATAAAAACATACTGGTTGGATTTGAATATCCTTGAAAGGTAGAATTTTACCTTATTGCATTTTATACTACCAGTATATTTAATTTGACATAAAATTGTACATTTTTAATCTTGTCCTTTTGTATTCTTTCTTTTTCGTACCTTTTTCAATATTCTGGTTTTTCTTCTTTGTTTATGGTACGATGAGTACTCTAACCTATCAAATTGTGAAGCACACTACGATTTACACAATTTTGAGCAAAGAGTCTAAACTGAAAAGGAGGGTGACATCATCAAAACTATTTCTAACAATTCTTAGCTTATATCAAAGTCTGAGGGACCTAACATATTCCAGGCCCATTTAGGAATTTTCGTTTAGGTTGGCGTTCTAAGTAGTTCAGTTATACTGTAGATAGATATATTTATTCCGTAGAGTAGGTTCAGCTCTAAACCTTTTTTGGCACTAAATTTAGACTTAAAGTTAGATGTTTGATACTCCAGGAACCTTTAGAAGTATTTGTTTAGGCGTTCAGCCTTGAGCCTTGTTTTTGGAATGAATTTAGAATAAGAGTCAGCTCTTTGAAACTCTAAGACCCTTTAGGAATATTTGTATAGCCTGGTGTTTTTAAAACAGATTTGATAAGGAAATCACACATAGTTAGACTTGTAAATATAAGTGTTGCCAAATATTCAAATATTTGGAAGTTGGAAATTACAAACTCTGGTTTTTTGTCTATAACGTAAATAAGCACACGACCTTTATAGAAATAGGCTCACTCAAACATTATTTATAAAATCTGCAGGCTAAACAACAATGTGGTTGACTTTAGCAGGTAGATATTAATTGTGTATAGAAGATATAGCCCCAATTCTTTCTTTTTTTGGAACGAATTAAAACTCAAACATTAAGATCCTTTACTCCAGTACCTTCTAGCATTTTTTTAAGGTGGCGGTTTTAAATTATGTCCTTCTAGATCTTTAATTTTTAAGTCTTGCCAAACCTTGATATTTCCAAGTAGAGTGCGTAGTCTGTAACCTAAATTAGGCACCCACCTTTTCTTTGGGACTGAAATGACACTGGACCCTTTAACAGTGTCTCCATGTTGTAGGTTTTAGATACTACATACCCAAATTAATACTGAAAATATATTAATTACATCCCAGGAATAATATCAAGTAGACCTAGGCTCCTCAATCTTCATCCCCTTCATCTTCTCCATCAGCTTTGTTGAAGAAAATTCTCCAAAGTGATCTTTCTTTACTCTGTCCGCATCAACTTGTAGTGCAATCCTCTTTTCTCTCTGCATAAGTGATCCTGGTTTGATAAATCTCCCTAATCATAGACCATTATCTAACATTTTCAAAGAAATATTGTCTTATGCTATTCGAGTTAGATATGTGATGCAATGTGAGAAGACCTTCTGTGAACCCCCATGCTTTTATAGCCAAGCATGCACTACAATCGGTTGATATTTGGAAACTCTGAATCTGTTTTACTATTTCCTGAATCTGCTTAACTATTTTCACCAACTCATTTCAACCAATAGAATGTAAGCATTTCAACCAATTCCAACTCACCCAATTAATTATTGGCATGCGACCAACCATCTTTTAAAGTACTCACCTCCTTTTTAGCCAATAGAAATACACTTATTTGTACTATGCCAACCAATAATTTTTGTGTGAATAGTGTCACCTCTTTTTTATCGAAAAGGAATAGACTTAGTTGTGATCTGCGAACCAATAAAAATTGCACACATTATATCTCTCAGATTTCTTCACCAGATTATACACATAGACCTTCAGAAATGGGAGCTCAAAACATTATTTTGCATTTATTTTTGATGAACAAAAATCCACCAAATCATGATGTTGACATTTTGGGGGAACCCTATTCATCAAAAAAGTGTGCTATTATATATTAATAGATATCGTGCAATTACTAACGGATTAATTTTATTATGTGTTTTGGAGTAATAATGCGATTACTACTACGTACAACTTTAGAGTTTAGACATATCATTGGATACCTTTATTTAATTAGACAACATTGTTCTCGGGTTTTCATTGTTATCATATTTCCAGATTTGCCAAAGTTCCAGAATGATGTCGTCAAAAATAATCATAGTATGGATAAAGACGTCAATATTCAAAGAAAGAATTCTTATTCGGTTCGTAAGAATGTATCATTATAGTGGTTACTAATTGCGTTGCAGGGAGTGAAGTACAAATGTTTAGATGGATTAAAGTAAAAAAAAACATGGTAGTGAATCAACTAACCAAATATAAATAATGATTAAAGATGAATATAAGCCATAATATGATAAAATAATTGTGTGTATGTCCATGAAATTGCGAAGGAAAACTATAAAACTACTTTAGAGCCCGTTTGGTAGCACGAAAATCGGCTGTTTTAGTTGATTGTGCTGAAATTTATGAAGTTCTGGCTGAAGTGGCTGCATTGGCTGATTCCGCTGATTTAAGAAAAAAATATTTTTAAAATATACTTTATTAATAAAATAAAGAAAATATTATATGTAAAAATAGCTAAAATGGTCATCTACAGTAATTTCAGCCAATACAGCCAGAAAAGTAACTGCAACCTTACTTTTTCAGCTTATTACACAATTCAGCGCGCGAAAGTAAAAATTATGTGTTTGATGAAAAAGTTGGCTGATAAGTCTGATAAGCTGAAAAACAGTGTTGCCAAATGGCCTCTTAATCTTTTTTATATGCACCGTTCAACGCATACTTAGTTGGTTATCTGTCTTCATCACATATCACAAATTTCAATTCAGATGGATTTGTTACTCACGAGACCACCACGTGTTGTCCATGCATAAAAACATATCAACGGAGGAAGGTGCCAACCTTTTCCGATAACTCTCCATGGCTCTTATTATTGTTCATCATTAATGAAAATTATCTTCGATGGAGAGTGAATGAGAGTCTAACATCTCATGGTATTAATGCAAGTTAAGGATTGGGATAGGAAACTTTTCGCCAAGATTTTCCTTGTGCATCATCTTCTCTCAATAATATGATCTCCAAATTTAATCACCGAAAATCATGTGTCATCCTACTGCATATTTCCAGTAGGATTGTTTGTCCCCGGCCATATTGAACATTTGATCACTTAAACTTGAAGCAGCCAAAGACCGATTGCCACCCGACATTCCAAACATCTGGGATGTTGGTCCACTCTGGGCAGGCTTAAAAAGTGCACTATTCACAGGGCCAGAAAATTGGTTCACCATACGATTTAGCTGATTTCCTTGGTTGGGTTGGTTTTGACTCATAGCATGCTGAATAGCACCGGAGGCAGACTGCCTTCTCCCTGAAACTGCCATCTGATTATTTATTTTTAAATGCAAGTGCAGGGAACATTTTAATAAGAAATCCTGTTTATACGCTTGAAAACTGTGTGAAATTAATCTGCTGAAAATCATATTCCCCCGTCACTTTTCTGAATGATAATCAACCTGAAATTAATCTGTTAAAACCAATTAGTTACAGAATTAAGGATTTGTTGATGGTGATTAATCCACGTTTAGCACATTGATTTGTTGTTGGTTATAAAATCAAGTTTGTAACATGGATTGAAAAGGGAAATGCAGATTCATAGAAGGGTTTTTAAGACAAAGTCACAAAACTAAACGAAAAATGAAATACTTCAGAAGTTTTCTACACATTCGCCCACACACTCATTGAAGATAGAAAATTCTAAAACAGAACCAGAAAATAAAAAACTCAAAAGAGAGAGTTCTGAATTTTTTCATTCAAAATTTTGCCTTATAAGCTGCATTCTTATAATCCATTGTCTTGATGGTTCATCTACTAAATCGGATATAAATCCATTGTCTTGATTAACCCTTTATATAATTACAATTGAGCTTCTATTAAGGGCTCCAACTACTGCACTTATGTGAAAATTCTTCTCCCAATCATCCATAATCCATTCTTACATCACATAAGAATTATGGGCATAACTTCAAAAAACTATAGAAATTAAATCTATCAACCAAATACATTTCAAATACTATCCAACAATCATGTAAAAATTAAACAACTCTGACATTCAAAAACCAAAAACTGATCGTGAAAAAAAAAAAAAAATTACTCAATCTGTGTAAAGCTCAGATCATAAATAACTTTTTCAATCAATGATATTGAGAAGTAGAAGGGGCATTTCAATCTGTGTAAAGCTCAAATCATAAATAATTTACCATGTGTTGTTGTATAGGACCTCAATAATTAATAGTCTTATCAAGGATTTTGTTTCAATACATTGATTTTTTTCCACTTGATAAAGTCAATCACACTACATCTCAACTGCAAAATTCACATTAGAAAATGCTATGGATCTGAATTATTTTTATTCTAATACAAAAAACATGTTGATTGGTGTTAGCTGACCCCAAACTCTTGATGGCCATTGTTATAATACAAAAACACATGTCAAGATTGGATATGTAAAGTACAATAACAACAAAAGTGATAGAAGATGGGAATAAAAATGGAAACGAAAGCAACACTCACCATTTCCATTCACATCTGCCTTCAATTAAACTTAGATGCTGCGAGAAAAATAATGGTGAATAAAGATTAACAGAAGAAAGAAAAATAAGATGAATCAATATTATAATTGATTAATAACAGAAGAAAGATTGATAACTCATACAGAAGTAAACCATGGTTATTGCAAAAAGACAGAAGAAAGATTAATAACTCATATAGAATCTCCATTTGAGTCTGATTGAAAGTTTGAAGTTAAAACCAAACAAATTTGATGTTAAAAGAGTAAAGTATTTTTTAAAATATTATTGTGTTTATATAAATAAAAGTAAAAATGATTTCAGGCTTTCAGCTTGATTTAAACATTTAGTCCACATTTTTAACTTTTTAAATATTGTAAAAGAGGTTAAAACTAACATGGAGTTTTAAAAGGTTAACCTATTGATATTCGATATACCTAATTCAAAACATAATGATTACCTTATCAAGTATCTATTGTCTAAAAGCTGTCATACAAATAAAAATAAAGATTACGCAGTAGTTAGCAATGCAAATGTACACAACTGTGCATGGTGATGATTTGCTGGAATTGAATTTGAAGCTCATCTGCTCATGAGCTACCTGATCCCTTTCAAGTAAAAGCTCAATAAGCCAAGTGTATTCTCACCATCTTCGAAAAGCAAAATAAACCTGCAAATGACATGAACAATTACTAACGCTTATTCTATTTATAGTAGGACAGGTCAACACCCAGTTAGTTATTAGCTCAAACCGACTTGACTAATAACAAACCCTATTTCTTCTAGAATACCCTTTATGAAGTATTTATCTCATATCTTCATATTCGTAAAGTCTCTATCAAATCTCCCCTCCTGAAAATCCAACTTGCCCTCAAGTTGGGAAGTTGGAAATTGTTGTCTGATGCTATGTTATTTCTCCCCGGAAGGCCAGAATCTTCAAACTCCGGAAGATCCTTCCAATGTACCAAGATTTCCCTATCCCCTGCTGAATTCATTCTGATTTTCTTCAATTTTTCGGCCCACCCGTAATTCACACTCTTCAGTTATATAATTAGGAAGATCTTGGCAGGAGCTGGTAGGTTTCAATTCCTTCTTCTTCTTCCTCATCTTTGCGCCTCTTCCTTCCCAGTACCGTCCAAATTTCAGGATCCTAAGCTTCATGAACTGGCCAGCCCCAAGTTCATCCCCTACAGAGCCATCCTCATGGTCCAGGTCATCTATAATTGCAGGAAGAACCGATGATGCTTTTTGTTGAGAACAGTTTTGTAATTTGTATGATATCCGAAACCACCTCCTCTGTAATATAGATTCTTCCTTCACTCTTTCTAGCCTCTGTACCTTTAGCATCAAAATATTTTTCAAAGATAAAACTGTTTCTCTTGTTTTCAAAGATAAACAGCCCCCGATAGAAACATTCCTGAATTCTCCTTGCTTCCCTAACTGGATTTGCCTCCAACTTTCTTGATCCAAACAAGTAGGGCTCCATTTTTATATTTCCAACAATATCAACTATCTTGTATTCCGTTAAAATTCCACAACTGGAACAATTCACTTCGGAATCCTTGAAGCAGAAAACCATTTTATAAGGTTGAGCAATCACTTCAGCTTGCATCCCATTAACAATTTCTAGTTTTACAGATAAATCCCTGACTTGTTCATTCTGGGTAATCATAATTGAAGCAGCTTGAATAATTGAGTCTAGATCGGCATAGATTCTACCCCACTGGTATTCAAGAACAAACTCAAGAACAACCGTAGCAGAATTGGTGTTCATGTCCTGAACATCCACTTTAATCTGCTTATCAGAAATTCTGGACCTACCCATTGTTTCAACTACATTTGACTTTTCTCCCATTGAATTGTGATTGACTTTCATAATGCTTTTCAGCAAAACAATGCCATCCTCTGCTGCACTTCGAGTATACCTAACATCATTCCTCCAAACAACTCCCATAGGCATATTCCACCAAAATCTCTCTGCCAATGCTTGTTCCTCAAAAGGAGAATCCATTTTTACTTGATTTCTTGAAACAAAGAGGGGAAAAATCCAAACTATCTTCAAATTTGCATAATCTTTGCTAGTATGAAGCAACCCAGGAACCAAGCAACACTGTGGACGAGAATACAAAATCAGTTCCTTCTTTACCAAATACATCAGCCCTAATTCTTTGGTTCCAATCTTGCTAGATGAAGGAAGTTCACTTCCTCTCAAAGAGTTCCAATCTTTGCTGTTGTTATTCCAACTGGAAAGATTGTCACAAGTGAGGGAACGAGCAATTGCTCCAGCTTCAGGTCCAAGATGAACTGAAGATTTATCATTGTCTTCCTCTTCAGGTTCTGTTTCCTTAACTGAAGGTACAACCGGTTCCAATTCTGTGTTTATGGTTGTTTGTGTAGTCCCTGGAGATCCCTTTTCTGATGCGATGGCCAGAGTGGATGAGCTGTGAGATTCCAGAATCAAAGAAACTTGTGAACTGGAGACTTCTGCTTGCGTCAAAGCCAGAGGTCCCGAAGAATTTGCTGTCGAAGTTGAATATTCTCCTCTCGTCTTTATTGTACTCGAATTGATCTCGATTGAGTAAGTCTGGGAATTGCGAGACTTTGTTAGCGATTGCGACTGTTGAGAGAAAATTCGCGATTGCGACGGGTGAGAGGAAATTTCCGATGGCGAACTAGAAGAAATAGTTCGCGACTCCTTCTGCGAACTGGTTCGTGATTTGTGCTGCGATGTGTCCGATGCATGTGACCTTCTTCGCGACCATTCTTGATCGATCGCGATTTCCGGATATTTCGCAGATTTATGATGCGAAACAGTCCGCGATTTCTTCTGCGGCTCCTGCGATCTTCGCAAAGCGTGCGATCTTCTCTTAGATCGATCTTCCGCATCCAGTCTGGCCAGAATCGCTGCCATCAACTCCATGTTTTGTTGATGACTCCACCTCAAGTTATCCAATCGTGCTTCCATCTTTGCGCGCGTCAAGACATCCACAGTGAATCGATGTGCTCTGATACCAATGTTAGATCCTCCAGAATTCAATCTAACAGAACACCAAAATGTAATCAAGAAAACTCAAAGGCAACTTTAATTCTAACAATGGCGGAATGGCCTAAGGCAACATTTCTCAAGCGTACAGTTTACAAGTCAAATTACCGCCCCACAACTACTAAAGCTTATTCCATTTATAGTAGGACAGGTCACACCCGGTTAGTTATTAGCTCAAACCCTATTTCTTCTAGAATACCCTTTATTGAAGTATTTATCTCATATCTTCATATTCGTAAAGTCTCTATCAAATTCATACTCATATATGTCTGGAATAGCCAACAAATGCTTGATTGAAGCCAATTTTATTTGATAAATTCAATACTCATGGCTAAATGGTGCTACTAAAGTTTGCTTGTTGATATATAATACAGTTGCAATCAAATGTAAGCAACTCCATACTTCAGTTTATTTTCATTCACTAATTTTGTCAAACCCAGGTCATATTATACTAAATAAGAAAAACGACTTTTTTAAAAACAGAAGATAATGCAAAAGCAGACTAATTCACCTTATGCTAAGACCAATCATCTCAAAGCTATACTTAAGCTAATACACCTTATGTTGGAAAAATTAAAAGTAAAAGTTAGCAGCTGACTTTAATTTTAATAACCATACTGAAAAATGCTTGACTTTCTGTCATAAAGTCATAAAACTATTTACTAATTCACATACTCAAACACTCACTATTTACTAATATAATGAGAGAGAGATCAATGTCTAGGATCACAAGGCTTACTCTGTTAAGTTCCCTCAAAATTGTACTACAGTGTCCATAAAATCAATGTTTAGGATCAATCTAGTAAAAAGTACTCAAATCAAATTAGCCAAAACAAATAACACTCACTTTGCAAGGTGAAGGCTCATGGGCCATGGCCATTCCCAAAATAGTGTGTCACTAACACCCACCCTTCCACCTTTACAATTTCTTATGAGATCTTCTCACACCAGCCTGCAGTAGGTATTTTTTATAAGAATAATATAATAAACACTGGACATCAATTTGCAAGGAGCTGAGAAGAAGTATTTTTCTCTAATTTTTCAAATATTTGTATATTTAGTAATTTTTAGGGCAAGTTAGAAGATGCCTCCTCTATCGTAGTTTTCTTTTGAGAGGATTCCTCCCCGATGGTATTTTTCTTTTGTTAGGAGTTTTTTTAGAAGATTCCTCCTCTATGGTATTGACTTCCCTACTTTTAAATACTTCTATATAATATACTATTCAGGCTAACGTATGTGCCCCTGATCGATCCAAATGTAATTGAGCAAGCACTATTCACCACATAGTTACTGATGTTACCCATGTTAGCCCTACAATGGCAAAGAGGTAGAATAATATAACACAACACCAGTGACTTTATTTTTTTACCCATGGCAAAGTGTTGGTGGATTATTTTTCTATGCTTCATAGACTTTCTGCTGACTTGAGTTTGCAAGACAAACGCAAACTATGTACTTTCAATAGATTAGTTCTAATTAAGGACAAAAAAAACAAATGTACCTAAAAAGAAACCATGTGCAACACCAAAAACAGTAAAGGCAGATATTAAAGCAAGAACTCTACATTCATTTTACAGCTTAACAATGTCATTGAGTCATGGAGAGGTGCTCATATACCAGGAGGCTAATATCTAGAGCATGACATCATCACATTGTACTTAAAATAAATAAATAAATAAATAAATAAATAAAACAGCCTGAATGATGCAGATGGAGATCTCATGAGCTGCACTTTGTTTCAAATTGATTTCCACAATACTCGTTAAAGATCAAAAGGTTTTGATATCTTCTCATCATCCCACTTAACATGATTAAGAAAATAAATGCACATTATTTTTACAAATACCAATTAACGATGGGATCACTTAATTTTTTTAGAATACAATAAAAGCCTCTTAGAAGCACTTTGAAGAACCATGAAGATATCTTAGAGGCACAATAAAGATTAGTAGATCAGTTTAGAAGCACTATGGAGATTATAACCTTCAAAGATAATTTCAAGTTGGTTAATGTACAAGACAGACCAAATTGAAGAACCAAAGCCAAACTATGGTCTAAACCAACAATCAAAGCCAAAATATGGACTAAGCCAACAACCATCATAATTCACAACTTAAATTGACAAATGTAACCCAAATGACTTTATAACCTATACACCTTTTCAATACAGAATCAAAAGAACAACTCATGTAAAAGTCTAAAACTCATCATTAAACATTTCAGAAGTGCTTGACCTTAAATTTCCACTCTCCTTCCACTGGATCATAAGAAACAAACTTTGCACCTTGCTCAGCTGATTTTCTTATGAGCAGATTCTTGTACTTGTCAACCAACGGTCCATCTCTGTAAACCTTTCCCGTCTTCTTGTCAACACACTGTAGATTAAGAAGTGTCACCTCAGCAGGCTTGTTGAGACCTTTTCCAACTTCAGGTTTCTTGCTGTCGTTATCCATGTACACCATCACCTCACGGTGGTTGAATTTGACCAAAGCATCAAGATCAAGCCCCCGAACATCCGTCTTGCCTATAAACTTGATGGAACCACAACCCTGCCTTCCGATCACAAAATCTTGAACACTGCTGCAGAAGCCCGGTTCCTCCTTTTCCTTTGCTGTCAATTCTTCTATGGTAGGTTCTGTATAGTACTCCTTGGATCTTAGCTTTGGCATAGTGGCATCAACATCAATGTCATGTTTATTATCCACTGCTTCACATGTGTCAATTTGGCTTTCTTTGGCTGAGTGTACTTGTGTGGATTTACCTGCATTTTCATAAATAGTTATATGATTAATTGATTATAAGAAATTAAGAACCACATGCAGGTTGTATGCAAGTAGTAGTAGCATTTTTTTATTACAATGTGCCAAAGTTTTTCCAAATCATAGCATCCCGCTAAATACCAAAAATTTATGATGCATTAATTCCAGATGTTCTCTAAGAGGAGTCTTTTTATTTTAAAGAAGGGTTTGTTTCAAATATATCAGCATTATTTACTCTTACAGTATTGCCCTTATACTCTCACTCTATGCTAAACATTTATAAATGATAGAGATCACCAATGAAGGACATCGTTGTCATTTGGTCATACTATTTTTCTATAACCATGTGTTTATCATATATTTCAATAATAAAACATTAAAGACCTTCTAAATTAGGAGGTCAAGTGTTAGATCCCTCTTTACACTTTATTAGACGGTGATGCTGATATATGCTTTTATTAAATGGCTTACCATCTTGGATGCAAGTATCTATATGCAAAGAGGAAGTTGAAGCTGAAGTAAACGTCTCTACCATGACATTTCCTACAAAATAGAAAGCTAGATCATGAACTCAACCCTCTGTTTGACTGTGGGAGTTTTAAATAAAGAAAAAGTTACCATTCTCACAGAGCGTAATAGATGTATGCTCCATATCAGGAGATGTCTTTGGACTATGACTTTCAGAACACTCTTTTTGTGGGGGGTGAATCCAAGACCTTGGATTTTCTCTTGGAAATATTACAAAGTTCATCTTTGCACCTCCTGTTGACTTTCCTTCACCAGCCGTGAAAAACGGAACCTGCCAAACAATGCAATGCACATTTATGATATTCTTCTACAAGAAAAATCTCTCTCCAATATGCTAAACAAAAACAAGGACATATTCATTTTCAAATGCAGAATTTTAAAATGTATATGGAATATGATCATATAGATCTGCAAAAGTGAGTCTCACTTTTGAAACATTGGCATCCTTATTGTATCTTAGAGTAGGCATCTTAGCTCGACTCAAAGATGAATGCCGAACTATGAGAGAGGATCTTCTTCCTGTTGGAGCTGCCTTGTCAGAAACCTACATCATCAAGTGACTTATCAATATATATAACTTCAAATCATAAAATGGCATTAGAGCCTACTTGATCCATACATATGATGTGAGGATATGTATCTTTACAAAAATAATAATAACTGCTAGATGAGGCCTCAGTTGTGAGAGGCATGCAGCCCTATAAAAAATGCACGGTTGGGTCAGGTTAAATTTTGCACTATCCAAATAAGGTGTGTTTCTTTGAGGGTGTTAAGAGTTTGTCCCAAACTATTCAAATATGAAAAAATATACAAACATATAAAACATCCAGTAGTGAGCCTCATATCTTAATAGACAAAAACTCAACAAAATCATATTCTTCCTCCTGATCAAAGGAGTGTGAAACTTACTGATAAAGACGAAATCCCATACTGAACTGAAATAATAGATTCAGGATGGCTAGATGTGATTTGTAGCGCCTGAGGTGTTGAATAGGGAGTTTCCACAAGCTCCCCTGCAGTCTTTTGAATGCACAACGGGTTCGGCTGATTGGGAGAAGGCTGTGTACTTGGTTCAGTTGAGGTCGGCTGGGATGTCTGACTTGTGATGCCATTGCAATTCCAGCACAATGTAGGTTTAGAAGCAAACTTAAGTGATGAATTGGAAGAATCAAAAACAGGTGAAGAGAATTTGGATGCAAAAGTATTTTCTTGTGTTGTTGCTGAAGTAGGAGTGAGCCATCCGGGGGCAACAGAGGTGCTTACTGATGGAGTTGTTAAAGACCAGAGGGGGGAAGAAGAAGAAGAAGAATGAAATGGCGGTTTCTGTTGAGGGATTAGGTTTGAAGGAACTGGTTGAGCATCCACTGGTGGAATAGGACCCCAAAATGTTGGTTGAGGATTGAATGGTGAAGAAACAACAGCAGGAAATGAGTTTGTGATGGTTGGGTTTGCTGGAGGAACCAGAGAGTATCCACCAATTTCAGCCTGTGGTAGTGTTCCTTTTCCATCTGCATTAACCAGTATATGAAAAAGAAAAATGAGCTTTCAGATTATATTACTAAAATAGAATTTTGCAAAAAAAAACACTGTCATCACAGAGAATAAGAAGAAACAAAGTGCAAATGCAATTACCTTTTTTGCGTTGAAGCTGGTAGGCTTCGAACCTGAGTTCCTCATGGCTTTTATTTGCATAAATTGGCATAGCAGAAATGGATTTACAATTTCCATCATCCAGCAATTTAGTAGAAGAATAAGGTGTCGGTGTAGGGATTGCTTGAGGGGCAAATGGATTTGAAGGATTAGCATTGGTCTGGCTAGAACAATTCACAAATCCATTCAATCCACTTGTTAGAGTTTGAATAGAAAATGGATTTGAACTAACCGAAGGAAAAGCAGAATTGGGATTAGGCTGGTTCCAAGATTGTGTAAATCCAGAAACTCCTATGTTGCTTTGAATCCTTTGATTGTGAGCAGAAAACGGATTTGGCTGAACTGCGGGAAAAGGAGAACTGGAATTCGATTGGCTGCTAGAACAATCCTTAAATCCATTTAATCCAGTGGTTTGAGGCTGATTAGAGAACGGATTAGGGCTTACAGAGGGAAAAGAAGAATTAGAATTAGGCTGGACAGGAAATTGTGAAAATCCCCAGGCTCCTTTGTTGGTTTCATTATGGGAAGAAAACGGATTTGGCTGAACTGAGAAAAAGGGAGAATGGGAATTTGAACTAGTTGAGGGGAAAGGAGAGCTGGCCTTTGGTTTAGTTGAAAACGGATTCGATTGAAGAGTGGCGAATGAAGAATTAGCATTCGGTTTACTGGCAAATGATGAAAATGGTGTCAGCCCACTGTTCTGTGTTTGAGTTTGAGGAGAGAAAAGGTTTGAAGAATGAAAAGAAGGGAAAGGAGAGTTGGCATTTGGTTGGCTTTGAAAAGATGAAAATGGAGGACCTGTAGTATAAAGTAGATAGATAAACAAAAGAAGAGTTAGCATCTCAATTATGAGGATAGTAAGTTTGACAGAAATGAACATCTGTTATTTGAGTGATCTTATCAGTACAAGTAGATGTTATTGGCAGAGATTGTGATGGAGCTGAAGTTGTTCCAAAAACACCTGTAGAATTCCCACCAAATACATAACCTCTTCCCCAGCCAAAGTTGTTGGTAGAAGATGGCTGTGTTAGAACTCCTGCACAAATTTGAAGAAAAAGTAAGCAGAACATTACTGAATGCTCCTTTTAGTTAATTTTTGAAGCAAAATAGAGTTAATTTGTAGCATTTACAAAATTGATTGATTTTTGTTAAAGTTCGTGTTGAAACATTTTCATATCGTCAAAATATAAACTACTGCATGAGATATTGAACTACTTTTTCTCTCGGGATAACTTTTGGAATGGAATCCTCGTCTTACTAGTTTCAAAGTGGTAAGTCTAGTTAGGATGAATCTCCTATAGAGCAGCCGAGCTCTAAGGAATGTCAAGCAACTACAATTCATTATCTGTCATGATTGATTTGCTAAGGAAAAATGAGCAAAATGTTAGTTTAAAAGGTAATAAAATCTAATCTTCTGATACATTGGAATATACACACTCCAAGGGAAACATTTGAACTAGTAAACAAAATATGTAAAATGCCTTTCCTGAGTAGGCAACATTTGTTCACCCCTCTAACAAATCAACCCCAAAATAATAAACAATCACTGGGAATACAAAATTAACATCAAGTGTATTTTAAAAATCTTTTTACCGCCGAAAGAAGGTGATATTGACACAGGAGACTGAGCTGACGAAGTTGTTCCAAACAAACCAGTAGAGTTCCCAGCAAATAGATTACTGCTGCCAAATGTCTGGCTGAGAGCTGTCAAAAAGTAATAATAAAACATGTTTATGAAGTATGAACATTGTTTTAATTGAAGAAAAGGTCTTAAAACGAAAAATTCTTCACAGTTGATGCTAGGGGTGGGCAAAAATCCCGGTCCCGGTGTCCCAAACCGAAAAATCCCGATACCGTTCCGAAACTATCCCGATCCATTTAGGACGCAATTTTTTCATCCCGAACCGGTCCCGCATCGATATTGAACGGGACGGGACCGGGATAGCTAAAAAATATCATGTCCCATCCCGGTGTCCCGTTAGAAATTAATATGTTGTTTTAAATTTCTAATGCTATGTAATAGTCAAACCCAATTAAAACTTTCTAACCCTTAGTCTCCCCTAGTGTAATTTTATCTTATTTCATGTCTCTCGTAGTCTCATTTCTTTTGTTTCTTTTGATTAAAATTTGTTTACTTCTCATTCCAATACTAATCCATTATATATTATTACGTGCAGAATACTATTTATGATGGAATAACTACTACTCCAAATTATAGTGTTGTTATAGATTTAATATTTTCCAAAATAACTACTAGAAAATATATAGTGTGTTTATAGATATGATATTTAATTTAATGTGGTATTGAAAAATTACAAGTGTACTACAAAGTATAAAAATATTTTGCGCTACTATTCTACTGGAAGATACACAAGATTAGGGGGACCAAAAAAATTTACAAGACAAAACTGAAAATAGTTAATTAAAGATTTTACTTAACTTTTTGGGGAAGCTAAATTTGCAAAAATAGTCACATCTTTATATTGATGTTATGATTATTTTTGTATCACATTTCACAAATGCATATTTTATGGGACATCCCGAACCGTCCCGGTTTTTCTCGGGTTGTCCCGGTCCCATTTTAAATGGGACAACATTGGGATAAAGACTTATCCCGTACCGAACCGGACCGTTGTTATAAAACTGGGACGGGATCGGGATAAGCCAAATCCCGGACCATCCCGGACGGTGCCCACCCCTAGTTGATGCTTGCCAGATAAGAACATGCAGAGTAACTAGCCTCCTTAGATTGTAATATAGAGACTATATGTGGTGGGGTTAATGGCATTAGCCAGTCCTATGAGGCTATGAAGCCCGGATCGGCCTGCTTCGTGAGGTCAGCCAATCCCATAGCGAGCCCGGTCAACCTTCCATCGTGGGTAAGGTAGCCTAGTATTACTTCACTTCCAGACTATATAACATTCATGGGATCAAAATCTACTAATCAAAATAGTTTCTTTTCCCAAACTGTTCTGTAACTCTTCTTAATTAACTAAAGTACCTTCTCATAAGTTATTTTCATCCACCAAAAAAAGATTTTCACGTGTTGTGTTTCCTATAAACTAACCTTGTTAATTTGGTGTAAACATATTCAATTCGGTTTAGTTGAAAACGGATTCGATTGAAGAGTGGCGAATGAAGAATTAGCATTCGGTTTACTGGCAAATGATGAAAATGGTGTCAGCCCACTGTTTTGTGCTTGAGTTTGAGGAGAGAAAAGGTTTGAAGAAAGAACAGAAGGGAAAGGAGAGTTGGCATTTGGTTGGCTTTGAAAAGGTGAAAATGGAGGACTGTAGTATGAAGTAAATCGATAAGTAAAAGAACAGTTAGCATCTCAATTATGAGGACAGTAAGTTTGACAGAAATGAATATATGTTATTTGAGTGATCTTACCAGCACAGGTAGATGTTATTGGCAGAGATTGTGATGGAGCTGAAGTTGTTCCATAAACACCTGTAGAATTCCCACCAAATATATTCCCTCTTCCCCAGCCAAAATTGTTGATAGAAGATGGCTGCGTGAGAACTGCACAAATTTGAAGAAGAAGAAGAAAATAAGCAGAACATTACTCAATACTCCTTTGAGTTAATGTTTGAAGCAAACAAAATAGAATTGATTTGTACATTTACAAAATTGATAAGTTAAAGTTCGTGTTGAAGGATTTTCATATCGACAAACCAATATGAACTACTGCATGAGATATTGAACTATTTTTTTTCTCGGGGTGACTTTTGGAATAGAATCCTGTCTTAATAGTTTCAACTTTCAAAGTAGTAACTCTAGTTAGGATGAATCTGATAAAGAGCAGCAGAGCTTTAAAGCATGTCAAGCAACATTTATCTGTCATGATTGATTTGCTAAGGAAAAATGAGCAGAATGTTAGTTTAAAAGGTAATAAAATATGATATTCTAATACATTAGAATATAAAAAGACACTAGTGGTCCTTGCAAAGCTATATGTATACAGGGTCCAATCACCAATGGAGACATTTGAACTTATAAACAGAATATGTAAAATGCCTTTCCTGACTAGGCAACAATTGTTCACCCCCCTTACAAATCAACCCCAAAATAATAAACAATTACTGGGAATACACAATTAACATCAAGTGTATTTCAAAAATCTTTTTACCGCCGAAAGAAGGTGATATTGACACAGGAGACTGAGCTGACGAAGTTGTTCCAAACAGATTACTGCTGCCAGATGTTTGGCTGAGAGCTGTCACAAAATAATAATAAAACATGTTTATGAACAATGTTTTAATTGAAGTAAAGGTCTTAAAACTTAAAATGCTACTAGTATTAAAAAATACAGTGTCAACACTCAAACGGTGTTATCTTCTCAGTTGATGCTTGCCAGATTAGAACACGCAGAGTAACTAACTAGCCTCCCTAGATTGTAATATGGAGACTATATATGTGGTGGGGTTAATGGCATTGGCCAGTCCCATGAAGCCCGGATCGGCCTGCTTCGTGAGGTCAGCCAATGCCATAGCGAGCCCGGTCAGCCTTCAATCGTGGGTAAGCCTTTCGCTATGGTAGCCTAGTATTACTTCACCTCAAAAATATATAACATTCAGGGGATCAAAATCTATTAATAATCAAATAAATTCTTTTCCCAAACTGTTCTGTAACTCTTCTTAACTACAGTACCTTCTGATGAGCTATTTTCATCCACCAAAAAAAGATTTTCACGTGTTGTGTTTCCTATAAACTAACCTTGTTTGGTGTGAACATATACAATTCCAAGTTCAAATAGGCATGAAAACGCAGAAACCCGTGCTATTACCGGAACAATTCAAAGAATGAATGGTATCAAATACTACACATTACTATATTGATCATTTTGAGGACTTACAAGTAGAGCTAAAAGGAGAAAAGCAAAAGTTGGACATTCTGGAAATAATTCTTGGAAGAAAGGTATATTCTGAGAAGGCCAGAACGTGTGGGATCTAAATTGTGAGAAGAGTGGAAATATGTGAGAAGAAGTAAGTAAGGGGCCCTCCATGCCAGGAATGGAGGTTATATATATAGAGCAGGAGATGAAACGAGTAGCTTCAAGTTTAAGCACATACGTACGTAGGTTGTACGCAGACCTTAAACCGCTCCCTCGCTTACGTTTGAAGCAAAGTTTTAACTTAGGATAGATCATCCGCGCTTTTGCATGGATTATGAACGGATCTTCTTTGCGCACCCTAATTATTTCTTTGCGCACCTACTTTGTAACCGTGACAGACAATTATATCCATGCATCGGTTCGTAACTTTCTCTTGTATTTCGTACTCTGTTTTTTTGCAAACTGTATTTCGTACTATGTTATTCCTTTTATTTACATTTTAAGCAATTGGGTTAGTTAATTAGTTATTACTTATTACTCCATATTTTACAGTATTAACTACGTACTACGTATTACTAGTAATAAGCAACAATTCTCATTTTTTGAACACTTCTCTATAAAGTGTATTTATATATTTTAATAAAAACTTAGAAATTGATAAATTAACATATCTTTATTTCATTGGTAAAAAAACATATCTTTATTTCAGAATCTATAGCCATTTTTAGAGTTACTTAACTCTATTAAGAAGTACTTCTTTTGTCTTTTGGAACTAAAGATATACTACAAGTCTGCATCCGTCCCGTTTAAAGATTTCCATCGTAAAATGTCACGGTAATTTAGATAATAATTAAGTAAGATAATTCGAGCATATGTGATATAATGAAGTCGATCATTGATGATAATTGTGATGTATAGATTTATTATTTTTAACATTTGATTATTAAATTATCATTTAAAAGTGTTAATTGTTTTCTAAAATAGAAATAAGAACATTTATATGGTGGGACGCCCCATAAAATAAAATAAAGTAGATAATGTATATTCAACTTAGGCCACTCCATCGTTCAATCAAAATTCAACCGTTGGTTCACGATTGCAAAAAAATATCTAACCAGAATTCCACATCAGTTGTTCTAGGATGTTTTTACTTTGACTGTTTTCAATTCCAGACCAGACTAGATTAGACCAGATCAAACCAGACAAGACCAGACCAGACTTGGACAATTATAAAATACACAGAGATCAAACATGTACCAAACCTAACCAGATCATATCAGATCATACTAAAAATTCTAGTCCAAGTAAAAATATCACTAGTCCAATTCCAAATAGGCGATTTGGGTTCCGGTTGGAATATAATTTTGCGTGTTGATGCTATTTTAAAACAATAGGTAAAATAATAAAGCTAAAAAATATTACCTTGTAAACATGAAACTTGATTAAAAGTTGACGACTGACTTGATACAAAATTTAAAACGGGAAAAACTAACATTGATAAAAGTGAATAAACCATTAATATTACTCTTTAGTTACTACAATGTAAACTTTGGACGCAATTATGCTCACTAATAATTACTAAGTAATATTGCACAAAAATTTAAATTTAACACATTATTCATTTATCACTTGATAACGTTTTCTCGTTCAATCCAAATTACATGTGTGTGTAATATTTTAAAGTTTCTTAGTATTAAGGACTCCCATTGTAGATAGCACAATACGAAATATATATTTTATACTCCGTATTAATTACGAAGTAATAAAGATCAAACTATTTTCGCTTAGGATTTGGTTTTAAATAAGTCTCCAGCTATAAATAACAAATTATTAGGCTTGGTCGTGTTTTATTTTAAATTTAAAATTTAAAATTATACGCAGTATTGCTTTATTTAAAACAAAGTGGTTCATTCTCAAAATTTTATGCGGGTATGAACTAAAAAGAAAAATAAGGTGGGAGGGCATTAGTGTCTAAAAGTGGTGCGTTAAGTAAGTTTTGGGGTGCATAAAGGAATGCCCATTATGAATTGCCCCTTATTTTATCTTACTTATTGCAAGTGCTGTCCGCGATCTACGCTTATGCATTTTTTCTTTATCTTTTTTATATTTGCATATTGCTCCTCTTCCAAATTAGTACCCTTCGTTAAGACTAATACTGGCTGAATTGGTTATTCTGTTGAAATTTACGAAGTTCTGGCTGAAGTGGTTTTAATGCTGATTCTGCTGATTTATGGGGGAAAAATTATTTAAAATATTTGTTATTAATAAATAAAATAAAAAATAATATGAAAAAGTAGCTAAAATTATACTCTACAGTAACTTCAGTCAATTTAGTCAGAAAAGTAACTACAACCGTACTTTTTTCTTATTATTACGCAATTCAGCGCGCGAAATCAAAAGTTACGTGTTTGGTGAAAAAACTAGCTGATAAGACTGATAAGCCAAAAAAGTGGCTACCAAACGGGCTCTTAATATTCTCCTTAAATAAGAAAAGTAAAATTTATGCGGTTGAGACTTCATTACTTGAGAAAACGTAGAGAAAACCACAAATTTATTACTTTCAAAGGAAAGTCACAAAAGTTTTTGGACAAAATTCTAATTGAAATTGAAGTTTCAATTAATTGATATTAAGTACAATTTGTAAATATTCATTAATTACAATTAAATCCTATTTTTTTTCAAAAAATCCTAAATTCATAGTGTTGATTTCCAAATATAGAATGAAGCATCAATTTTCAAAAAAAATTCAAAAAATATAATCATTTCATTATAAGAATGTGTATATTTGGAACATTTTTTTAATCATGAATTGCATTCCATATATTGGAATACTTTATCGAGTTAATTCTAGGAAACTACATAAGATTTGAAATTTTCATTCTATATTTTAAAATACTTTGTATATTTTGTTTCAAAATTAAATACGCATATTTTGAAAGGTTTTGTATATTTCAAATTTCATTCATTTTATATACTATACTTCAAGTCATGTATGTGATGCACGGATGACCGAGAATCATTAGTAGTTCAATTCTAATGTACTCCATATAATTCTTCTCGAACAAAACTCAAGTTTTTCATTTCATATTTGTACATAATATTTTATATGTACGGTATATTTTTTATCCAACAATTTTAAATTAGTTTTAATGGCAACGGTTAGTTTTAATTAAAAATCAAGAACATACTTCGTATAAAATAAAAAATAGAATTTTCAAACAAATCCATTGAAATTTATATTTATTTAGTAATAAGAGTATAATAATTAGTTTCCTCCTTATAAGGTACCCAATAAAAATAATAGTTTAATTTCAGTTGACGGCAATGACAAAGATGTGGCGGGGAGGCGGCTGCCAAAGTTTCCGAGTAGGGCTACGGTGGTGACAGGAGTGTGCAAGGGATAGGGACAAGGTTTGAGGGTGGGGTAGCGGTTGAGCAGGGTTGGGGAGGGTCATTGTGTTTGGGCGGTGTGTGATCACCGTCGGGGCGACAGGAGCACTCTCTGCTAGGGGGGCAGTGGTCACTATAGTCTATTGAGGCGGAGGAGATCTCGGGCAACTGGTAATTGTTCAAGGAGGGTGGGTCAGTGACTGCCTGGTCACTAGGTCAGGTCACGGATCCCGATGCAACCAGACCAAACTAGGGAGTCCGAGTGAGATCACTGTAACGGCGGGTCACTTTGTGAGTATAATTTGTTGGCAGTGGTCACTGGTCATTGTGACTAGTAGGGTCACTGGGCGACAGTGGTCACTAACTAACAGTTGTCATGGTCACTGTCAAGAAGTGTGAAGGCAAAATTGTTGCTATATCGCATCTTTGATTATTTGAGATGAAGCTATGATGATTCATTAGCTTTGGTGATGATTGGTCAAATCACAATTGTCTTCCCGATGACGGATGAGACCGGGTTATTTATTTATGTTTTTAAATTTTTAATTACAAACATTTCCTTTCAAAACAGAAAAGATTGCAAGAGTAAGACCATGTAAAGTAACGCTAAAGTGACCATTTTAAGCTAAAGTGACCATCTCAATAAAGCTTGAACGAAAACGGAAAACTACATCCCCTAAGCATTAAAGACGGAACAGAAACAGTTCAAGTAAAAAGGAGCATATGTAGTTAATAGAATTAAATCAAAACATGTAATTTTAGGTTCAATTTGTTTTCTCAAGAAAATAAATTATTTTGGAAAAATTTAGTAAGGCAAATGAAGAGTTGTACAATATACAAAGAAAATAAGTGTGACCAGATAGTGGATGAAAAAGTGACATAATAATTTTTAGCGACTATATATAAAAGACACTCAGAGTAATTTTAGTTATATTTCTATCCATGAATTTTACTTTGATAATATTTTAAGAAAATCTAGATAAGAAGTATAGCATAACATGGACTCGCAAAAAGTGAAAAACATGAAACTGTTTCATGCAAATAATTTCTTATTTCCATAATGGGAAATGTTTCCCGCAAAATATCAAAGAAACACGGAAAACATTTTCATGTATATCGGTATATGTAGTATTTTCATCTCTCCATAGTCCAGATAATTAAGTCATTAATGTCGAAAGCAAAGAAAATGTAATTTGGAGACTAAGGGGTACACTTGAAGTAAAGAGTTCACTATTAAGTCTTAAAGTAAATAAACACTTTTCAGATCTAGAATTTAAAACTAATCATATGAAATTAGTATGCATAACATATAAACGGATGCAGCTAAAGTCAAGAATCTTAGACTTAAGTCAAGACACTTTGATTTCTAAAGAAATACTTTGACATTTAGACTAAATAGTTGCCAATGATAGGGCTAGGGTCCAAATGTTGGGTGTATATATACACACAAATATCCATAATCAGATAATCTATAGATAATTTGTAGATATCAAGTTTCCCCCACCTGAGTCACAAATAACTAGTCTTTGACTGGAGTTTACTCCTCCCTGCGTTTCAAAATATTCTAACATGCTTCCTTTTGAATTGTTCTTTGCATATTTCTCAGTGGTGGCTTGTATGAAGGAGACCCTTTTTGTTAAGCACTTAAGCGAGAATTGTTTTTATTCAATAAAATAAACAAAGAATATATAGCATTTGATTTACAAATTTGATTGAAATGAATTTTACCCAAACATTCTTCTAATCTTCTTTTCAGAAAACTTGGCTATTTCAGACCTCAAAACCAAACCACCTAACCAAGGCACCAACCTAACCAAGTCATATAAAAGAAATTTAATGACCATACATTTAAACCCAACAAGTACATAGCGTGTTCAAATTTCGTACTCCTAAACATTATTCCTTTAAATATCTGTTACGTTTTAAGGAGTACAGATTTCTTCAAGAAAAAGTAAAGAAAAAA